CACAACACACACACACACGACACACACACACGACACACACACACACACACACACACGACACACACAGCACACACACACACACACACACACACACACACAACACACAAACACACACACACACACAACAACACACACACACACAACACACACAACCGCACACAACACACACAAACACACAACACAACAACACAACACACAACACACACACACACACACACACACACACACACACAACAACACAACACACACACACACACACACAACACACACACACACAACACAACACACACACACACACAACACACACAACACACAACACACAACAACACAACACACACACACACACAAACACACACACACACACACAACAACAACACACACACAACAACAACACACACACACAACACACACACACACACACACACAACAACACACAACTACACACAACAACACTACACACAACAACAACACAACACACAACACACACACACACACAACAACACTACACACACAACACACAACAACACTACACACACACAACAACAACAACAACAACACAACAACAACACACAACAACACACACAACACTGTTCACTGTTCTTTTCTCTCTCCTCTTGTCGTTTGTTTCGTTTGTTTCATGTGTTTGGTTCTTTTTTGTTCCAGGTCTGATTCGTTCCGTAACTTCGTGGACTCGTGTCTCCAGAAGATTCCACAGGACCGTCCTACCTCCGACGTGCTGCTCAACGTGAGAAACTCTTCAACTACCACCTCCTCCTCCACCTCCTCATCCACCTCCTCCTCCTCTTTCCTCTGCTTCATCCTCCACCTCCTCCTCCTCTGCTTCATCTACCTCCTCCTCCACCTCCTCATCTCTTCTCCTCGCTTCATCTACTCTCCTCCACCTCCTCATCCTTCTCCTCTGCTTCAATCTACCTCCTCCTCCTCCTCCTCCGCTCATCTCCTCCTCTCATCTCCTCATCTACTCCTCCCTCCTCCCTGCTCCACCCTCCACCTCCCCTACCTCCTCCTCCACTCCTCCCTCCACCTCCTCCTCCTCTCTGCATCTACCTCCACCTCCTCCTCCTCTTCTTCTCTGCTTCATCTAACCTCTCTCCTCCTCCCCTCCTCCTCTTCTCCTCCTTTCTAACCTCCTCCTCCCCTCCTCTCTCCTCCTTCCTCCCTCCACCTCCTCCTCCTCTCTCCTCTGCTTCACACCCCTCCTCCACCTCCTCCCCTCCCTCCACTGCTTCATCCTTCCTCCTTCTCCTCTTGCTTCATCTACCCTTTCCTCCTCCTCCTCTCCTCTGTCTACCTCCTCCTCCTCCACCTCCTCCTCCTCCTCCTCCTCCTCCTCTTCTCCTCTGCTTCATCTACCTCCTCCTCCACCTCCTCCTCCTCTTCTCCTCTGCTTCATCTACCTCCTCCTCCACCTCCTCCTCCTCTTCTCCTCCACTGCTTCATCTACACCTTTCCTCCTCCTCCTCTCCTCTGTCTACCTCCTCCTCTCTCCTCCTCCTTCTCCTCTCCTCTTATGCTTCATCTACTTCCACCTCTCCTTCTCCTTTCCTCCTCATCCACACTCTTCTCTCTCTCCTTCACAACTATTTTCCGTTCCCCCTCTCGTCTCTCTCTCTCCTCTCTTCTTGTCTCTTGCCTGTCTCCCCCCGTCTCACCTGTCGCCCCTGTCTGTCCCCTGTCCGTCAGCACCGGTTCCTGTCGCGGGAGCGCCCTCAGACCGTGGTCATGGACCTGATCGCTCGAACCAAAGACGCCGTCAGAGAACTGGACAATCTCCAGTACAGGAAGATGAAGAAGATCCTGTTCCAGGAGACGCAGCAGAACGGACCCACGGCCGACGGAGCCGACGAGGACGAGGTGAGACGCCGGGACGACAGGGGGACGAGGGGAGACATGAAGACGAGGGGAGACATGCAGACGACAGGGGGGAGGAGGGGAGGGAGGAGACGAAGCAGAACGGACCCACAGCCGACGGAGCTGACGAGGACGGGAGGGGGACGAGGGGAGGAGACGAAGACGAGGTGAGAGAGGAGGGGAGGAGGAAGAGGAGGGAAGAGAGGAGGGGAGGAGGTAAGAGAGGAGGAAGAGGAGGTGAGAGAGGAGGGGAGGAGGTAAGAGAGGAGGAAGAGGAGGTAAGAGGAGGAAGAGGAGAGAGAGGAGGAAGAGGAGGAGAGGAGGAAGAGGAGAGGGAGGAGGAGGGAAGGTGAGGAGAGGAGGAGAGGAGGAAGAGGAGGAAGAGGAGGTGAGAGAGGAGGAAGAGGAGGAAGAGGAGGAAGAGAGAGGAAGAGGAGGAAAGAGGAGGGGAAGAGAGGAAGAGAGGAGGAAGAGGAGGAAGAGGAGAGGAGGAAGAGGAGGTAAGAGAGGAGGAAGAGGAGGTAAGAGAGGAGGAAGAGGAGGAGAGAGGTAAGAGAGGGAGGAGAGGAGGTGAAGAGGAGGAAGAGGAGGTAAGAGGAGGAAGAGGAGAGAGAGGAGAGGAGGTAAGAGAGGAAGAGGAGAGGTAAGAGAGGAGGAGAGGAGGTAAGAGAGGAGGAAGAGGAGGTAAGAGAGGAGGAAGAGGAGGAGAGAGGAGGAAGAGGAGGTAAGAGAGGAAGAGAGGTAAGAGAGGAGGAAGGAGAGAGGAAGGAGGAGAGAGAGGAGAGGAAAGAGAGGAGAAGGAAGAGAGGAGGAAGAGGAGGTAAGAGAGGAGGGAAGAGGGAGAGGAGAGAGAGAGGAGGTAAGAGAGGAGGGGAGGAGAGAGGAGTAAGAGGAGGAGAGAGAGGAAGAGGAGGTAAGGAAGGAAGAGAGGAAGAAAAGAGGAGAAGGAAGAGGAGGAGGAGAGGAGGAAGAGGAGGGAGGTGGAGGGAGAGAGAGAAGGAGGAGGTAAGAGAGGTAAGAGAGGAGAGGAGAGAGAGGAGGAGTGGAGAGGAGGAGGAGAGAGAGGAGGAAGAGGAGGTAAGAGAGGAGGAAGAGGAGGAGGTGAAGAGGAGGAAGAGGAGGTGAGAGAGGAGGAAGAGGAGGTGAGAGAGGAGAGGGAGGTAGAGAGAGGAGAGAGGAGGAGGAGAGAGGAGGAAGAGGAGGAGAGGAAGAGGAGGAAGAGGAGGTAAGAGAGGAGGAGAGGAGGAGAGGAGAGAGGAGGAGGAGAGAGGAGGTAAGAGGAGGGGAGGAGGGAAGAGGAGGGGGGAGGAAGAGAGGAGGAAGAGGAGGAAGAGGAGGTAAGAGAGGAGGAAGAGGAGGTAAGAGAGGAGGAAGAGAGGAGAGAGGAGGTAAGAGGAGGAAGAGAGGAGGAGAGGAGGAGGTAAGAGGAGAGAGAGGAGGAGGAGTAGAGGAAGAGGAGAGAGGAGAGAGGAGGTAAGAGAGGAGGTAAGAGAGGAGGAAGAGGAGGAAGAGGAGGTGAGAGAGGAGGAAGAGGAGGTGAGAGAGGAGGGAAGAGAGGAGGAGGTGAGAGAGAGGAGGAAGAGAGAGAGAAGGAGGAGGAGAGGAGGAGAAGAGAGAGGGGTAAGAGGGAGGGAGGAGAGTAAGAGAGGAGGAGAGGAGGTAAGAGAGGAGGAGGAGGTAAGAGGAGGGAAGAGGAGGTAAGAGGAGGAAGAGGAGGTAAGAGAGGAGGAAGAGGAGGTGAGAGAGGAGGAAGAGGAGGTAAGAGAGGAGGAAGAGGAGGTAAGAGAGGAGGAAGAGGAGGTGAGAGAGGAGGAAGAGGAGGTGAGGAGGTAAAGAGAGGAGGAGGAAGAGGAGGTAGAGAGAGGAGGAGAGAGGAGGTGAGAGGAGGAGGAGGAGAGGAGGAGAGGAGGAGGAAGAGAGGAGAGAGAGGGAGAGAGGAGAGAGGAGGTGAAGAGAGGAGGGAGGAGAGAGGAGGTAAGAGAGGAGGTAAGAGAGGAGGTAAGAGGAGGAGGAGGAGAGGAGGTAAGAGAGGAGGGGAGGAGGTAAGAGAGGAGGAAGAGGAGGTGAGAGAGGAGGAGAGAGGAGGAGAGGAAAGAGGAGGAGGAAGAGAGGAGGAAGAGAGAGAGAGAGAGAGGAGGTAAGAGAGGAGGAGAGGAGAGAGGTAAGAGAGGAGGGAAGGAGGAGGAAAGGAGGAGGAGGAGAGAGAGGAGGAAGAGAGAGGAGGAAAGAGGAGGTAAGAGAGAGGAGAGGAGGAGAGGAGGAGAGAGAGGAAGAGAGAGGAAGAGGAGGTAAGAGAGGAGGAGAGGAGGAGAGGAGGAGAAGAGAGGAGGAGAGGAGAGGAGAGAGGAAGAGGAGGAAGAGGAGGTGAAGGAGAGAGGAGGGAGGTAGAGAGAGGAAGAGAGGAGGAAGAGGAGGTAAGAGAGAGAGAGGAGAGAGGAGGAGGGAGGAGGAGGAGAGGAGAGGAGAGAGGAGGAAGAGGAGGAAGAGGAGGTGAGAGAAGAGAGGAAGAAGAGAGAGGAGAGGAGAGGAGGAAGAGAGAGGAAGAGAGGAGGGAAGAGGAGGAAGAGAGGAGGTAAGAGGAGGAAGAGGAGGAGAGAGGAGGTAAGAGAGGAGGAGAGAGGAGGTAAGAGGAGGAAGAGGAGGAGAGAGGAGGAAGAGGAGGAGAGAGGAGGAGGAGAGAGAGGAGGAGAGGAGGAGAGGAGGAGAGAAAGAGAGGAGGAAGAGGAGGAGAGAGGAGGAAGAGGAGGAGAGGAGGAAGAGGAGGGGAGAGAGGAGGAAGAGGAGGGAAGAGAGGAGGAGAGAGGAGGAAGAGAGGAGAGAGGAGAGGAAGAGAGGAGAGGAGGAGTAAGAGGAGGAAGAGGAAGAGGAGGAAGAGGAGGAGAGAGGAGGAGGTAAGAGGAGAAGAGGAGGAAGAGGAGGAAGAGGAGGAGAGGAGGAAGAGAGGAAAAAGAGGAGGAAGAGGAGGAGGAGGAGGAAGAGAGGAGAAGGAGGAGAGAGAGGGAGGAGGGAGGAGGAGGAGAGAGGGAGGAGGAGAGAGGTTCTGCTGTGGTGAAGTGTTTTATATCTAAACTTTCCGTGTCCATCAGGAGTCGTTCCTCGAGCTCCTGATGTGACGCTCGCTGTTTTCG